AATATTCTGGCTCCGCCCCTGGTTATAGAGATATATATTTTGAATATTTAATTAATTTTCTATAAATTTTACCCCAATTTTTTTGGGAATTATAGTATTTTAATTGATTAGAAAATAATTCTAACTTTTAAAATATAATGTAGGACAATTAAAATCTATAATAGTATTATGAATAATCTCTCATATTTTGCTTATATTTTAAAATAGTGAATTTTTATATAGTAGTGTATTCTAGCCTACCATTAAAACATTTTGTTAATTTCTGAAATGAGTTTTTTTTATATTATTTTTAATGTATTGTAATGAATTATATGTTTACTTGATTGAATTGTGTTCTTTTGGAGTTTTAGTTTGGATGGAGGAAGTTCTATTCTGATGGTAAATGTACATTCTAGTGCTAAATGTACCTTATTGTACTGTGAGCACGCTTTGTTTTGTTACTGGACATTGGGAGTCATAAGAGTCATAATTCTCTTAGTTTTATCTATTGGGAGGCATAAGTGTCAAAATCATCTAAATTATCTATGTTGGGAGGCGTAAGAGATAAAATTCTTTGAATTTTGTCTAATATAAAATATTTGTTTATTTATTTTTCCAAGACGAAAATTTAAAATTTTTATAACTGCAATTATGATTCTACTCCGCACACTGATTTATTATACTACTCTTAATACTTGGTTAAATGATTTCTAGAAGTAAATGCTTAATAACATATTTAATTAAATTTTTGGATTAGTAAATGTGGCATGTTGAGCTGTGTTAGCTCATTGTTGTTTTGAGTTCTATTTTCATGGTCTAGGAAAAGAAAAATGCAAGTGAGTTAATAATTTCAATATTTAATATAAGTTTGTATAGGTATTTCTTTCTCTTTAATAAATTTTGTAAAATAATGACTAATTATTTAATCTGCTCTATTTTTTATTCTAGTATGTAGTCATATTCTATAGAGTAATTATTATATATTTATTTTGATGATAAACTAAATAGATAATTTAGTAAATAAATTTATGTTTAGTACAAGAGATGTTGTTAGTGGCTTTATGATTGTTGTTTGTTTTAAATTTAAATTGAATTAAAAATCTAAATAGTTTCTTAAATTTAGATCTTAGAGTCGTCTTGTTGCAAACCAACATGATAGGACCATATCCGTTTGTGGGTCTTATTGGGTTAGGCTATGAAACTCTGTTGCTCAATTATGGTCCCTTTAGCCTATGTTGCATGACTATGATTCTTATGATGTCCGTGCCTAACTCTAATCCCTCCCACCTAAGTGGTTTGACTACGGCTCCAATGTCCTTCGTCGTCCACTGACAATGAACCTTACGTACACAATCGCTCGACTATAATCCATCCGACCTTCGTTGTCAGACAATGGTCCCTTTGACCTCCATCGCTTGACTATGGTCCCTATGATCTCTCTTACATGACTTTGGTCTCTCCGACCATCATCGTATGACTACAATTATTTTGACCTTTATTGTATGACTAATGGCCCTCCAGCCTTCGTCACGAGACTACGCCCCTTCCACCATATTTTCCCATCGATTATTATCCTTTTGAACTCTGTCACTCGACTACGGGACAGTCGACTACAGTCCCTCAAACCTTTGGTGCCAAACTACAATCCCTTTGACATTCATCACCCAACTACAATCCCTCCAACATGTATGACCTTACTATGATCGCTCCAATCTCCATCGTATGACTACGATCCCTTTAAACTCCATCACCCAACTATGGTCCATTCGACTTCCATTTCCCAACTATTGTCCATTCAATATCCCTCTCGCGACTATGGTTCATCTATCCTCCATCACCCAACTAGGGTCCCTCCAACCTTAGTCCTTGATTACGATCCATTTGAAGTACGTCACCAATTGACTATAGTCATCGAACCATCGTCATCCTACTATGATCTCTGCTCGACCTTCATTTCTCATCAAGTATGATCCTTCCAAACACTATCGCCTGACTACGGTCCCTTCGAACTTCATCACCTAACTTTGGTTTCTCTGACCTTCATTGTGTGACTACAATCCCAATGACTTCAATTGCCCAACTATGATCCCTTCAATCACAGTTATCCAATAACTATGTTCATTTTAAACATTAACACCCAACTATAGTCCCTTTGACATTCATCGACTGATTTAAATTTCTCTGATCTTCATTGTTGGACTATGGTCCCTCTGACCTCAATCACTCAACTATGATCCTTTTGAACTCCACACCTGATTACGATCCTCTGACCTTCCACTACAAAAAATTGAATTATTACCGGTGGCATTTTTCGACGGAAAATAGTCATTTTTCGATGGTTTGCAAATTTCCGGCGGCAAATTTTCCACCAGTAAAACACGCGTAGGAAAAATATTTATGGCGGTAAATTTTTCCAGCGGTTTTCTAACAGAAATAGGATACCAAAAATATCTAAAATTTAATTAAAAAAAAGACCGGCTGCCCACCCACCCACCAGCCCGCGTTACCCCGCCCAGCCCGAGCTGAGCTGCCCGCTCGATTTCTCGCCCTGCCCGCCCGACCTCCCGCCCTGCCTGCTGCCCATCAGTTGCCCTCTAAAATTATTAATTAATTAAATGAATTAAGAAAAAAAATACTATGAATCCGGAAATTCGCCGGAAAGCCGTCGGAAATCCATTGGAAAGTCGTCAGAAATCAGCCGGAAAACCGTCAGAAATTTGCCGGAAATAAGACCGTCGGAAAGCCGCCGAAAAACCGCTGAAAATTCTTCTGAAAAACAACATCGTTGGAAAGCCGTCGGAAAATAGTCCGCCAGCAAGCTGTTGGAAAAATCAACCGGTAATTGACAATTTTTCTATAGTATTCTTTGTCAAACTACGATCCCAGAGCTCCGTTTCCCCACTACAGTTCCTTTAAATTCCTTTGCCCGACTATGGTCCCTACAATCTTTGTAGCCCACTATGATCCATCCAAACTTCATCATCTGACTACGGTCTCTCTAACCTCAATCACATGACTACAATCCCTCGAACTTTTAGCACCCAACTTTGGTTTCTCAATCATGGTCACTCAACTATGATTTATTAATCCTCTGTCACTCGATTATGGTATGTCCAACTTGCTCCTCGTATCAACTACAAGCCCTCTGACATACTCATATCATTGACTATGGTCCTTAAACCACTGTCCCCTGACTACTATCCCTCCAACCTCATTTGCATGATGATGGTCCCTTCTTCTATTATCGCCCGTTTACTATGGTCCTTACGACCATAGTAGCCCATCGATTAGAGTCCTCAGACCATAATCACCTGCCAATTATGGTTCCTTTAACCAAAATCTCCCGTCGACTACAATTCTTAGAACACAGTCATGGACTATGGTCCCTTTGACATTCGTCTCCCGAGTCCCGATTATGGCCCTTACAACCTCTATCGCTCGACTACGATCCTCGCAACCTCGATCGCCCAACTAAGGTTCTGGTGACCTCGATCGCCCTACTACAGTACCTATGACCTCTATTATCATAGTACAATTCCTGCGACCTCAGTTGCTTAACTACAATCCCTCCGGCCACCAATGTTCGACTACGATCCTACCAACCAAATGAACATGCCAATTTTCTCTATATAACTACTCTCAGGTCATTGAAATCCTTCAACTCCAAACATGTAATGCACTATATATGATGTATATTTGCTATATTTAGCCAATGCATTCCCTTGTAGAAAGACATCCTTTGTAACCAACAACAAACACTAGTGAGATTATTTCAACTAGGCAATGCCCCCATAAATTTTCCTTTTTTTAGGTTTTTCACGAATTTTTTGGGTCTTTCTACGACTTTTGTACTACTCTTTCTTATTTATATGTGTTCTTCATTTTCATACAAAGCTAGGACATTAAGCTCTATGTATATCTCTATTGCCATCAATTTTCTTGCACGCAACAAAACCATTTTTTTATTAATTTTGAGAAAATAGGAATTTCAACCTAATATCTATAGTAGATTAATTTAATCCATAGAAAAATTAAGAGTATGTTTGAGTTAACTTTTTTATTGATTTATTTTTTAGATAATAATCACAAAATTTTTATTATTGTTTTCTTACTGTTTTTTATTAATTTTTGTAGAAGAAAACTATTTTTTTTTAACTATATAAGTTATATTATTATTCCCACAAGAACTTCACAACCTATTTTATAACAAGTTCCAGCCGCTAAAAAATGTCCCTAATTTTAGAAGTTTAGTAAAATTTTAGATAGTTTAGTAAAATTTTATCTTCTTATATAGGTAAGTTTTCTTTATTCACGTTGATTGAAATGGAATTAGAATTAAATTAAAATAAATTTGATGAATTTTAAGACTAAAACAAAAAAATAAGTATAGTTTTTAGAAAAATAAGTTTTGATGTTACAACTCATTAATATTTGAGACGACGTAAAAACCCGGCCCGAAAATTTATGGTTTGGGTTAACCCGTTTGGCAAATCGGCTGGATTGGATTTCAAATCCATACATGATTATAAATTTCGATTCGATTAGGGTCAACATGAAAATCCAAACACTGTTCTCATGGCACCGCGACCCCGCTGCCTATGCTCAGGTTCACACCCGCGTCTTGTTCTCGCCTTCCTTAGCCCCGCACTAGCGTTCGCAGCCTTGCACCGGCAATCCTGTGCCTGCATCCTTGAATAGGCGGTCTCACGCCCGCCTGCCTCGCCCACTCTCACCTACGTTGCCCGAGCTTGGGCTAGAAGCCTTGCACCCGCGCTTGCTTGTGTCACTCTCATGGCTTGCGCTCGTGCTGACACTTGCAACCCGTGTTCGCGCTTGCATCCTGTTTGGATGTTTGGAGGGGGGGACTAGGTCAACCCGAAAACCTGTCAAGTCGGATCCGGGTCTAAATTTTTTACCCGTTTGCTAATTTGATCAATTTTTACTTGGAGCAGTTGGAGACGCGTCAGTTCCAAATTAGGCCCAAAAATTAATTTTTACACTCATTTGGAACTGAAGTTGGCTTTACCTACTCGTACGCCTAAGCTCACCCTTTGATCCCGGTTTAAAGCTCAATCGCGCGGGATCGCCGGTTAGGGTTTCGCATCAGTCGGATGCAGCGCTCTCAACAACTCGCCCAACGTAATGGCTAGCACTCCTGCTGTAACCAGCTCCTCTGGCAGCGGCACACTCAGCATCAGCACCACCGCCGTTGCAACTGACAGCGCCTCGTTGACCGCTGCCACGATTTCGACTACTTCCAAGCTTTTGGACGAATCTCTCTGGTGGGAATCTTTCGTCGTCCTCTTAGAAGAACTCGACAGTGCTCCTACACTCTCCGACCTCGATGACAACATGGTAAATAAGCTCAAGAGAAATCATCCCTGGTTCTTGGACTCGGTTTCACGCTTCAAGTCCCCAAATGAATTATCTAGGCGTGCCTTGGATTCGAACGAGATATCCCTCGGATTACACAGCATTGTTATAGAGCCGAAGTTGAAGGAAGCTGCGCTCCGGGCTAGCAAAGTTCTGGTATTTTCGCTGTCACTGTTTAAAATTCATTTGAATATATGATATTCTAACAATTATTATTTTTTGATTGATCACGTTACTTCAAGATCAAAGTCGTTGTTTGATGCTTTACTCCTGTAAACTCTATTCACCATATTTTTGCTTACTTCCCAAATAGAGTGGACTTTGATGGTACTTGGATGTCGGCCATTCCCCGATTACTCGACCTGGTTAAGTTGATGATGTTTCCACTAGGATGGAGAAAGATTTAGTTGGTCGCAACAAGCATCATAATTGCTAATAATTCTTTTGGAGTCATTGGGGGAGTTTATGGAATCAAGAGGAGGAGGATCTGGCGGCTCTACACGTTTTAGAACTCCAGGAATCCGTGGATAAACATACTTCCGTGCACTTCCCTCTCCTTCTAAATGTTCTTGCTTATCCCATTCATCAACAACATCTTGCATTTCATTTTCCCACTTTAATTTGCACCATCTCTCTCATGTTTTGGAATACATCAATGCCAGAAACTACTGCAAACAAATTGCTAGGGTAAAGGGAAGATATATAAGGCAAGTTTTCTTTTCTATAAATAGGTATGGATGTATACATATATAAACACACACACTCTCACGTATACATATATACACACTACATTCATACATGCATGTGCTCTTTATCATCTCCTCTAACATTTTTTTATTAGGTGATTCTTCAAAACCCAACAACAACAACAAAAACAACAATAACATCAACATCAAGCCTTTATCCCACTATGTGGGGTTGGCTACATGAATCTTTTTCTCCATTGTGTCCTATCAAGAGTCAAATTCTTATTTAAATCTAATAAAAAGGTCATTTCTAATTTTTCTAAGAAATTATTTTTATTAGTTCTACCTCTACCTTTCTTAACATAAGTCAAATCTAATACATCTGCTTTCCTAACCTGGTCATCAGAAGGTCGCTGTTTTATGTGACTGAACCATCTAAGGAGACTCTTTCTAATCTTATATTCCACTGGAGCTACTCTAAACTTTTCACATATATGCTCATTTCGTATCCCATCTCTAAGAGTAAAGCCACTCATCTACCTGAGCATCCTCATCCAACATTCAGCACCATAAAACATTATAGGTCTCACCACCATCTTATAGAATTTTCCCTTAAGTTTGAGGGGGACTTTTCTATCACACAACAAGCCCGATGCATTCCTCCACTTCAACCATGTAACTTGAATTCTACTAATAATATCCACATCTATTTCACCATCACTCTGAACAATAGATATTAAGATATCTAAAATGTGTACTCTTATTAATGACTTGATTGCTCAAGTTCATAATCCCACCCTAGATCTATTATTATTAAATTACACTCCATATGTTTGTTCAAAACCCAATTTGATTATTAATGCATATTCAAATATACCAAATCTTTTATTTTATATATAATTCTGAAAATAGTGGAGTAATTTTCATTATTTGTATCATAAATCTTCCTCACAACTAGTTGATGAATCAAGCTCTAGAAAGCTACAACGGAGTAGAGTTGAATAACTCATTCAAGGGAAGTTGTTTGCCCTCGTAATCAAATTGAAACATTCAAATTCATTAATCACGTTCTTCATTATACCACCAACCTTATATGTGAATTGGACTATGTAATGCTTCTCCTGAAGAATAATATATTTTGCCATCTATATTCATAGCAAAGCAAAGGAAACGAATGCAATTCCATGCATGATAAATGGTTTTAACACCTTATGATTTGATTTGAACCATACATTAAGAGGCATTTTTGAATCATGAAAATCACCTAGAGTTCTTTATTTCAGTGTCGGTGGGCTAGCATATGTTGTGAAAACCTACCCAGTTTGTTCTTTTGCCGGGGCTGGTCTTCTTTTTTGTACATTGTACTTTGGGAAAAGCAACTTTATGTTATTTTATTTCCATTTGAGCCCATTAATGTCTAATTTTTTGATTTTTCTACTCTCTGCTTGCTATGAGTTGTAAAATACTTCAAATTAAGGATTTCATTTCTGCTTTCAAAAAAATGAAGGGAAGAAATGCTGATTCATCCATGTCTTTCACTATGACATCTTTGATGGGAGATTTTTCTTACAAATTAATTCATGGTATGTTTTAAGGAATAAGTTAGTGGATCAATTTCTGGTAACTCTTTTTATATGAAGTTTATACATTGGACATGTTGTTTGGTTAAAAGTGGATCTTCTTCTAATGGTTGGCGATGCTATTTGTCTGTCCTTAGTAATGTTTTTGATGAGGCTTGCTTTTTTCGCTCATCAGTAGACTGCCTGGATGATATTATACTTTTCTTTTGATTATTCTGCTCATTTATACTATAGGTAGGTGCTTCATTATTTTCTGACTTGTATTTTGCTGCACTGTGGTACCGATTTTCTCTACTTGCATTGGATGAGATTGAATCTTTAAGAATGATCGAGGTACATGTAAGGGAAAATTGTGGAACTTCCTTGCCGAGTTGCTAATCTTGTTGGGACCACATTTAGATCCTCTCCATTTCTAAAAATCCTTAAACTCTATTTCATTTATTTTAATTTGTATCTTTACCCACAGCATCTTTTGATATTATAAAATTTAAAAAATTATTAAATTCAACAATGCGCTGCCTACTGATACCTGGCCTTTTATCTTTTGGAGTACATGTGACCCAAAATTATAATTCATTCCTTTGAGTTTCTAAACTGGCAGTGAGAACTGGTTACCATGGTTAAGTTTAACTAATTTTTGATTTATAAATCTTTTTATTTTGCATTATTAAATCCTGTGCAATTTGAATATCTTTCCATATCTATACATTAATAATGCAATGTTCACCAATTAGGTGGTGGTTAACACAGACAGCTTATAGAGTTATGACTTTCTATTTTCTTTTGTTAATATTTATGTTTAGGCGTTCATATTCACATGCTTAGATCAGCTCATGAGATGATTTTGTGGTATTTGTAGTGCTTGGATGAGGTGCAGACATACATTTTGGTTAGCAGGTCTGTTGAGAATGATAGGTCTATTGCTCGTGTTGAAGGGCAAGATTTTTTACAATGGGTAATGCTCTTCTAGTTCCTTTCATATTCTTGAATTATTTTGATACTTTTATTTTTTATTGTCATTACTGGTTCATAGCATTCTTAATAAGTGCAATATATATGATTATCATCCTTTCTTGCATTATGCATAATATTCACTCATCAAAGATAAAACTTTTTTCCATTCATTGGTTTCTATATTTTTCAGTAAATGAATTATCTTACCACTTATTATGAGTAAAAGTCATATAAACTATACCCCATAAACCCCTAATTAGTAAAATTGCATGTTGTATAACGCACATGCTTTCAAAATTACTTTCATTTTTCATAACTTACTATTTTTTATTTAATATTTGGATTTTATTTATTTTGCATTTGGATATTATGTTTATATGCCTCAAATTTAATTTTGGTTTATGTTTTAACCTATTTTTGCAAGTAAGGTTTACTGCAGGTTATTTGGATTATTATTGAATTATGAATTGAATTTGAAAGATTCCCTAATCTAGTCTCTCTCATTTTTCTCTATTTCCTTATGATTTCTCTCTCCTATCCTTGGGACACCCCAGTTAATTCATTCCTCTCATTGACACAGATTTTTGCTCTTTGTTATCTCCCCTTTTGTTCATTGATTGAAAAACTTGGTAATTTTCATAATGATATCGTGGTTCTACATGTGGTGACAATTCGAAAGGTCTTGTAGATCGACAAAAATATTTCAAGGTGGTCCATTGCCTCTTTGTTTGGGTCCAACAAACGTAAGTTTCATTGCTTACTAAGAATGACGTGAATTACTCCTCATATCAAGAAAAATATTTTTGAAATAAATGCCTCATTAAGGTAGAGCATACAAAACTGGTAGTAGATCCAAAGAAGATTTGGATATTTAAAAAAAAATTATATCAATATAAGGGCACATTGCTAATTGAGTCCACAAATGTGCTACTCGACAGAACTTCGTGTTTTGATTCCAACTGATTGGTCCTTTGGTGGCTGGGGATGGTGTTGGTGCAAGATGTTGCCACTCCCTTCCATCTGACACTGGCACTTGTCCACATGAAGTTGAAGATTATTTGCTTGGGTTGCAGGCCAATTGTAGCGTATGAAGGTTGGTTGAGCCAATATGAACTAATTTGGGTAAGATATTAACATTTATGCCAATTAAATTAATTAACTCATGTTTTCTTGATCAATTCAATCTATCAAACTAAACAATTGAATCTAACTCTATGAACCAATCAATCCTGTATCATCTATTCTAGAGTTCAATGCCCAAATATATATATATATATTTGATAGATCCTATTTATGCAACCCAA